TTCTCCAACAAACTTAGAAAACTCATCAATTCATGGCATAAATGTTTTAAAAATAAATGCCCCTGGAACCAAACGTTAAAAGGCTTCATCACCAGCTCAACTTTGAGCAGGTACAAGATGGAAGGCCACCTCTGTTTCTTCCCCTAACTATTCCAGTTTGCATCAGGTCAGAAATGGATGAGAAAGTCCTTAGAGAAGGGCTGACTCTGTGGTTGCGACCTCCAATCACAACTTAAGTGTAAGGTGTTCTTCCCACCAGGAATCCTAGCCCCCAGCTATTGCTGCTCCTATCTCTGACTGAGCTGGAAGGTAAATTAACAATTTTGGTACCTCTCACAGAATGTCAGACACATGACAGGGGTTCATACTCTCCTGCTTGTGACACATTCACTAGGAAAAACTTCCTGGTGCTCCTCCTGCTCGAGAGCACCATCTCTCTTTGAGTGAACTCACAGCCAAGTCAGGGATCTTCAGACGAGAAACCTTATAGCCATAGCTGTGTTTTGATTGACCACCAGCCTCCAGTGCATAGTGAATGAGAATCACATGTGGCAGGAACATTCTGGAATTTGAGCAATGCATTTTAAGCACTTTCATAAAATGATCCTGATCCAAACTGATTTTTACAGGGTTTGATTTCTAGATTTTATTATCTTTGCTGTCTGCCACTGCCATGTGGGAAATGGTTGGAGAGTCCACCTTGGCTCTGGGGCACCTCCCTCCTGTTGTCTGTGGCATAGAGGCCACAGGACAGCACGTACTTCCTGCTGTCCATGGTGTGGAGTGGCTATAAAATGCTATAATACAAATTTAATGCTCTATAATACAAAATACTAATTTATTAATCTTTGAAATTTAGACCTACATATTTGGGTTTCATTAAGTAGGAGCACTATTTGTGTCTTTTATTACACTTTAGGAATATAAAAGTTGAGACTTCAGTGAGCACAGAAGCCTGTACTCTCTGTCCTCCAGAGATGTCATTTGATATCTAGATAATGCCTCTCCACTCATAAGGGACCCAGCATGTCAGGAGGGTTCTATTACATTTGGTGGTGACATTTAATGCTCATGTTCATTCTGCTTCTATGAAGACAAGTTCTCTGCTTATAAACATGGTTTTGACAGGTAAGTGGTCCTAATGGTAGCCATATAAAAACCAGACCCATAAGACCTATTCTCCTAGGTGTGGAACACACATATATTGGTCATCTATAAGCAACAGCTGGCTTGTTGCATGCCTTGCCCCACACACATGCAAGTGTGGAATGAGATGGCCACAGACCCACAGAACATGATGTACAGTCCATTGGGGACTGAGACTGTCACTGTTCCTGGGCCAGCACATTCATGCAGGCAGATTCACTGTCATGTTCAATGCCTGCTATGTTTTTTTTTCTTTCATGTAAAAAATAAGAAAAACTTGAACAGTAGAGGGGTTCAGATGCTACAAGTCTACAATGATAGCGTGAATATAGAGGGTAGTGTTCTTGGAAGCAGCAATAAAATTTCAGGGGAAAGAAAAAGGTAATTTTTTGCACAGTTCCCAAGTAAGAGAGCCAGGTGAATGGGTTCTGTGTTCAACTCTTCCCACCTACTAGTGGAATTTATAGTTCATAGGGTATGTCTCGGTAAGTAGTAAAACACCATTTCTATGTACCTTTACACTTTTTCATGGCTACGAGCTGACTTTGAAAAATCCAGTCACATTACATCTTTGTACTTGTTATTCATTCATTAATTAATCCATTACATTATTTATTTATTTTTTAATTAATTCACTTTTTCTTTGGTTGTCATTGTTCTTACATTAGTCGTGATTACATAATTGCATAAATATTCTGAATGTTAACTTTTTGTTAAATATTGTTTTATGTGTTTATTTATACATTTTTCTTTTCATTGAAATGTTTTTCCTTAGCCAAGCCTGATGTATATTAGACCTCAACCTTTGTTTATGAAGACTAGATAAAATCACATTATTTCAAGTAACTCAAGGATTTATCATCTTGGCAGAACCCTAATCACCCACTAAAGTTGACCCAGTCTTGGTCAACTAAAAGCTGTGTCAAAACTTCTCTTTTTTTCTTATATACACCTTAATAAAAAATTCCTCTCTCACTTTTATATGTTGTAGATCAGACTAACTTTCCAGAGCATCAGTTAATAACCTAGATATATTATCCAACTAGTTCACTATTACTTTTAAATTATTTACATCCTTGACACTAAGAGTGTCACTAATTAATTTTTATTTTTGCAAGATCTCTCTCTTTCTCATATTACAAATTGAAATCAGATATGCTTTTCTGCTAAGAAACACTCTCAGTCTTTAATAAAATATTCTATAAATAAAAAGGGTTTTGTTGATTTTCTTACAGCTTCACTAAAGTTGCTGAGGCTGGCTGACTTTAATGTTTTAGAATATAATGTTATAGAAGTTAGCATTATATATATATACTCACACACAATTGTGTGTGTGTGTGTGTGTGCGCGTGTATGTATGTATCATTGAATACTCACCAGGAGTATATACAAAATAACAGTAAAGCAAAAGTGAATGAAAAAAAAAATGGAATGAATAAATAAATAAATAAATAAATAAATAAAATAGATGGAAAAGTACAAAGATTTTATGTGACTGGGATTTTCAAATGTTGATTGTGGCCACACAAATTTGTAAAGCTACTTGGCAATGGCTTTATACTACCTACTGAAACATACTCTGTAAATTATCAATTCCACTCCAAGGTGAGAAGAAATAAACACATTATCCATTCATCTGACCCTTTCTTGCACTTATGTGCAAGACTAGCCTCAGAAACTTGGCAATGGCTTAAGTGACTCAATGATACACTGTCTCTTTAAAAAAATATATAGGGATTTAACACAGTGGTAAAGTGCCTAAATAAATAACAATTCTTGGTTAAAAAATGCTCTATAACCAAGTAATTATAATTCTAGATATATATCTAAAGAAATTGGAACATCTTTGTTAGAGAAATTACTTCATTTCCATTTTCATTGTAAGTTTATTCACAGTATCTAATAAAAGGATACAAATGAAGTGCATTTTAGATACAAAGTATTGATTAAAAGCTTCCTTCCATCTACTTGCCTTAAAGGCGGCATACTTATAATTCAAACTGCTCCCAAAAAAGGCAAGACTGAGATACTGATTTTTCTGAATACTCCAAGAGATTTTGGTACCTCTGGGCAAATTGTGTAAGACTTTTCTAAAAGTAAGGAATAGGTAAATATTGGGTTTAGAATGTGGACAACACACAGTAAATTACTCAAGGAGGAATCTTAGACACTGTAATAAGGTGTCTGAGTCTGGGGAAGAAAGAGGAAGTAAAATCAGAGTTTGAGATAAAAGTAGACTCTCTGCTTCACTGACTTCTAGATTATTGATTTAATCCAAACAGATATTGAAAAAGGGTTAAGGCTACTAATTACAATGTATCTAAAACAGGTATTTAAAAAGTACCAAGAAAGACCTGAAGGTGTGGCTCAGTGGGCCAGTGCTCACCTAGCATATATGAGGCCCTGAGCTTAATTCTCAGCACCACATATAAATAAATAAAATATAAATAAATATTAAAAAAATGCCAGGTAAGGGTCCATGGTTGTGGCTCAGTAGAGTGCTTGGCTAGTATGCATGAGGCAGTGTGTTCAATACTGAATCCACATTAAAAATAATAATAATAATAAAGATATTGTGTTCATCTACAACTAAGAAAAAAATTATTTTAAAAAATTACAATAGTGCTATAGCATGTGACCTTCTAATTAACTATGTTCTAATTAAGCTTTTGCAATTGAACTTGCTTATAATTTAAATTAAAGTCCAGTTCCACATTTATTTCCTGCCACACCAGGACAAAGGAGTTTGCTTGAATATTAGAAATGCATCTAAATGTCATTTTAATAAACTTGTCTTACATATTTAAAAACTCACTTGAAAGCCAACTTGGTGGCACAGGCCATAACCTCTGTGGCTCAGGAAAATTATACATGGGTATCATGAATTCAAAGCCACCCTCAGAAAAGCAAGGCACTAAGCAACTAACTGAAACCTTCTCTCTAAATAAATACAAAAAATAAATGGGCTGGGGTTGTGTCTCTGTGCCCCTAAGTTAAATACCTGGTATTAAAAAAAAGAAAAAGAAAAAAGAAAAAAAACTAAATTGAGGACAAATACATTAAAGAAACAAACAAACAAAATAATACAGAACAAAATCCTTAATTTTGAACAAATTTACTACACTCTTGTGAGGATGGCCTTAGGCCTGGCCTAAACAACTCCATTTAAAAAATTTCAGTTTGACACCTGCAGTCTAACTTCTTTAGGCATGCTTAAAGAAGCCCTGCAGTATTGCCCTCAGACATCAACAAATCAATTCCCCTCAACCTGAGAAACAGAGTGAGGCCTCTTGCAAGTTGTCTTCACCTAGTAAGAGAAAAGGGTGAGAAGGCTAGGGTGCAGACCACCAGACCAGATGTTTCTGGCCCTAGAGTAAATGATGTCATGGAAAAATCTGGTGGTAACTAATAAGGATTGAAAAGGGGGTAAAAAAGACTCAAAATTTAGTATAAATAATAGAGCAAATGAACAGATGTTTAGCCAGCTCAATCAAAAATGCACTTGAGCTCCAGAGGCTTATGAGGACTTGCAATGACATCTAATTACTTCTCATCATTTGCATTATCCTCACCACCCCTAACTCTACAGCCACATAATGACCTTAGTGAGAGGGGAAGGGTAAAAGATTATGTGACATTCTTCTCATTTGATGAAAACTTAATTTCAGTGGGGAGAAACTCAATGGGAAAAATAAATCCAAGAGCAAGGTCTCTCACACACCCAACATAT